GCTTTTGGACACCCTGTATAAATGTTTTGTATTCTTTAGTTCAAAACTTCCTGAACAAAACTTTCAAAACCACATTTGACATGTCTGACATTTAGGAGCATCTCTTACAGTTTGTATATCGTTTACAAAACTAAAAAGCATATGTAATATGCCTGATTTTATAAAAACAAAATGTGAAGTAAAGTTTTAAAATTATCTTCTAAACAAAGAATAAAATATCAAATTAGCAGTAATGTGTTTAATTTTACAACTATTATAATTAATAAATGTTAATTGTTTTATGACTCTATTAACAAATACTTTTTTCTGGATGGTAAATCTACTAATTGACAAAATTTTTATTTCATTTTATTCATAAGAATGTTCTCTTCAAAATTTAACAGATAGTTTTGTTAGATCTTTACATATTAACTTTGTTTTTCATTTTTTTATGTGATATAATCGTGTGTTAGCCTTAACTTGATCACCTAATATCAAAAATTGACATAGCTCAAAATAATACAGTAGAGTCGTTTATCCGAATCAATTGGGGACTGGGTTGTTCGGATAACTTATTTTTCGGATAACCAATTATGTACGAAAAAATATATTAATTTATCCTGTGTTGACATTTTTCTCTGTTGCGTGTCGCTTCGCGTTGAATTTTTGTCGATGTTAAGCCTAACGAAGACTATTGTATCGTTAAAAATTATTTTTTTTATTTTGTACAAACAAAATAAATATATTGAAAAATATAAAAACAATAAAAAATTATACTTCAGAAGTTAATTTAGTATCAAAAACGTAAAATATTTGAGTAGCCGAAGACATAGCCAAAGATTACAGCACCACAGCACTGGCGAAAATTTAAATTAGTCGACTGGAATTCTTTCGGATAACCGACATTTCGAATAACAGACCTTCGGATAAACGACGCTCTACTGTATAGAAAACATCAAAATTCTTTGCTGATAGTTTAGACCAGGGGTCACCAAACTGTGGCCCACGGGCCGGATCCAGCTCACAAGGTCAGCTCATCCAGCCCACTGCCACACTGTGCCACAAATGAGCTAAAATATAATTATTTATATGGAAATAGCATAGATTGTAGATACATTTACTATGTAGAAAAAAATTAAAATAAGTTTAAGTGAAAATGCCAAAATTGGTCCAATCTGATTTTTGCATCTGACAGTAATATAATTTTTAAGAAAATCAGTGAAATAAAAAATTTGGTGACTTTTTGCTACTTTTGATATCAGATCACTTTTTGTGTAAGTAAGTACCTGCAATGAAGTTTGTAATAAATGTGATTACGAGCTTGCTGCAGCAATTGTGTTTGTGAATTGGTAAGTAAATATGTTGGTTGTCTTCATTTGTGTATTCAGTGTACTGTATTGAACAAAATGGTTATGTGGCATGTGCTTATCATTCTCTCAATTATGTGGCCCACTGTGAAAAAAGTTTGGTGACCCGTGGTTTAGACAGAAGTGTTTTCTATGTATGAAATGAAGCAATCAAAAAATAATGGGTGGACCATCAAACATTTGGTAATTTATGACATGTAGCAGATTCTGTAAATTGTTCTTATAATAATATAAAATCTTTACATAATAATACTTAAAAAATTCATCCATATCAATTCCTGAATGTTATAAAAATGCAATTAGTAAAAATTTTACAATTTTCACAATTCAGATTATCATAATTTATTTTTATATTTTTTGTCACGTTGAGCTTTGCGTGACAAAAAGTAATGACACAATCAAACACAGCAATTTCATTTATAATTACTTGGAATTTAGCTCAGCCTGCCTTTTTAGGGTTTGATATAAATGCAGATTATAATTAAAATTATTTTTAGAAGATTAATTTAGATTACTAGATTATAAAAGAATGATAGTTATGCGACAATCCTGTTGCGTAGCTATCATTCTTTTATTTATATGTAATTCCATAATAATTAGGATCTAATTAGCTAACTTCTAGTTGTTTTATTCTGTTTGAACGAGTAAGCATTTTAGAATTGTCTGGTGGAAAATTGACTGCAATAAAAACTCTCCCTCTATGTAAATCAAGGTAAAGCTGTAAACAAACATTAGATAATTGCTATTTTCATCATTTTTCCACTCTAATTTAACTAATTTTCATATTTATTGACGTTATTTAAACAAATAAATGTTTTGTCAGAAACATTTAGTGGTAAAATTGCCTAAAAAACTAAAATATTTGTGGTTTAATTTTTCCTGCGGTTACTCAACATCAGGAAGTAATGAGTTTCCTGGTAAAATTTTTTGAATGGAAGCTTTTGATAAGACATTTTCTAGTCTAAGTAAAGTCAAATAACATGAAAACTAATTAAATTACAGCTAAAAAATGATGAAAATAGCCATTTTTATGTTTGTTTATGTTATGACTCTGTGATCTTGAAAGCCATTGGTTCTTCGCTGTAAAATCCTGAACAGATGGTTCAGAAAGAACGCTCAATCATTGAAATTAATTCAGTCATAATAGGAATTACCAATTATAGTATAAAAAGAGTATAAACATAAACTTTAAAGCCAGTTAACAGCAAGATCTTTCATAGACTTACTATAGGAAAATGGAGTTTTTCAAGAATATTTATTGCTAGATGGTTTTGAAAACATGTTTACTCCTCTAAACGCTGTCAAACAACATTTAATTAGCAATTTATAGCTCATAACACAATTAAAACAAGAGAATTTATAGCAATTGTTTAATTTGATTTTCAATATCATTGCTGAAGGTAGCGAGACTTTTCCTATCAATTTATAGCTAGACTGTTTTCACAAGTTGCTGATTGTTAGTATATGTAAAAAAAAATGCCAACCAGAACTTACATTGCCTAATATACGAGAAATAATCATAAATTAATAATAAAAGTGATAAATAAAAATTATATAATAGACATAAAATAATAATTAAAATAATTAATTACACATTACATTTGAAAACAATATTATAACAAAAAAGACAAAAATACCAAAATATAAATAGATAAATGATATTATAGAGTTTAAAAGACACTGTGCGACAAATTGAACATGATAAAAAAAATTGTGATGCTGTAAGCAACAGTGACAAACAGTGACTGATTGGTTTTTTTATCATAATTTGCATTGGGTCTGACCCAAAGTATTTTTTATTTAAATAAGCATGTCTATGCAAAAAGTTTTAACAGCATGTTTATTGGGTTGAAAAGTTGGAAGAACATAAATTTTTTTAGATTTTTTAAGGTATATTTAATATTTAAAAATCTTAACTAAAGACTGCACTGGGTCTGTGAAACCCACTGTGACTCACGGAGGGTTTTAAACTACATATCTATATCAGAAATCACCTTCAGCATGAAAATAGCAAATACACCAACACCCTTATTTGCTGAGAATAACATATATATGTTAAGTAAAGACAGCTGTTAAAGTTGTGATAATTAAAACCTCTGCTGCATATAAAGGAATTGCCACAATTCACACATTAATCAAATCCTGCATTAAGCAAGGGATACCTGTATACATGGGTTCAACCAAGAGGTCACTTAAAACAATGCATAATGGATATTGACAAATTGGACATAGAAAATGAAAGGCAATCTACCACCCTTTTGATATATGCTAGTGAAAACGATTTTCAAGCTGATTTACAACAAGCAAGATTAATTATAAAAAAAAAAATGGATAAAACAAAACATCTCAGGATATTGGAGATGCTTTAAAGCAGTGTTTCTCAACCTCTAAAGAATCGGCATCCCCTTCAATAAAACTGTTACGTAGTATCGCCCCCTTCACTTCAAAAATTCCGATGCTGAGGGACAGGGCTAACGCCAAATTCGTACTGCATTGAATAGACTAGTGACTAGTATAATGTTATTTGTTTAATTATTGTATGATATAACAAATAAAATATCTAATTAATCTTAATATAATGTTTTACTATATCGCTCAGAGAATTGTTTTTCGCTCCCAAAATATAAATTGTTACAAATCGCCCCCTCAACATGGGAAAAACACCCATATGGGGGCGATATTGCCCCCATTGAGAAACACTGCTTTAAAGCATAAAAGCAAGGAACATGTATCAATTTTAAAGAAGAAAAACACATGGCAGGCCCTAATATAACACATCACTATAAAAGATTTATTGCATCAACTACAAGTGGAGACACCCCATCGGTTGAAATTTTTAAAATTTATACAAATTTTCTTTGGTGCATTCCATTATTGAATTTCAAGACAATTTCATCAGCCTGAAGCAGGTGTTAGAAGTAGATCAAAAGCATTGTAGTGCTAATTATTTTTGCCATTCTGCTGGAAGAAATGTAAAGTTAGTATGTTTGTTATCTTGTAAGTAAAACTAGGACATTGCATGACTTTGTTGTATCATAATAGAATTCTGGCAAAACCAGAAAGAAAGAAGTGATTCTTGCACTTGTAAGACATAAAAGAGGCTATCCTTGCTCTTGTCTGACATGAGAGAGATGATCCTTATACCTGCTAGCCATAGGCAAGGCAATCCTTGTACTTGCTAACATGGAGAGGCAATCCAAGTGTTTTGTTCATTTTTTGCATCTATTTTCTGTTAGCATATGCAATGCTGTTTTTTTATTTGACCCCTAAATTCTATTAGGCACACTCAAGGAGCATGGACATTGTCACTTTGATCCCACAGTATATTGAAAATGAAGTCATGGACCCCTATTTTCTACATTTACATGGATTCTTATACATTTTGGACTCCTCATTGCAATTAATAGAAAATGGCAAAGTTTAATCAAAATTGATCAAACAAATTTTGAAATTGCAATTTTGTAAGCCACATTGAAGAGGCTTCACTAATGCTCTAGCTCAATAAATTTAATTAACATCAATTCCATTCTTTCTGGTATTTTCAAAAAATAGCCAAATCAAAATTTTCCAATTGGATATTTTTGAGAACTTATAAATAATATGTAAATAACATATAAAATATTTCATTTCTAATTTTTGAAATTTATTTTTCAGTGGGGATGGCAGCCATCAATCAGCTAATGGAGAAGATCGAACACCCACTGCAATGGCTCGTGCAGTCACTGTACATTCAGACACTAACAAAGTCATGTATTTTGCTTGATGTAATTTGTTACATAGTTTACAACTTTTAACCCCAATGGAATCTAAATCAAGATAAACTTACCAAGAATTGGCAATTTTGCCAAATATATAGTTGACCTTCACCAAGTTATCAGTCAATTTAATGCCATAGGAAAAGAAGACTGTCTCTTTTCATAAAATTTAGTGACTAAAAAATCTAAACTAAATGCATCTAATTTGCCTCAAATCTTGGTGAAGCCAATTAAAAAGTGAAAAAAATCATATTTTTAACTTATAGCTGCTGCACTTAGCAACGATCAGACTTTTACCTCATTGAATGTTGTGGAATTGAAATCTATGTCCAGTCATTTCATCAGAAAAAAAGGGTTATTAGAATAGTATGGTGGATACTCAATTGTGCACCTTTTCTAAGCATTCCTCATAATTGTTGCAGTTTTAGCTCTCATATTAATATTGTTATTATAGTTATTAGACTACATATCTATTCTTATATTTATCTTCATATGATTTTAATCTCATCAGAAGTCTTTGTCTAAAGCACATGTTGTCACATCAATTATCTCTGTTAGAGGTAGAAAGATATTTTATACATTGATAATTTAGGATATAAGAAGTCATTTGAGAAATTGTTTGGTTAAATTTTTTGAAAACAATTATATATGATTACTTGCAATATTAGTTGCATTTTATATTCTTTATTCCATTCAAAAAATGGAATAAAGTATATAATTGATGACATCATGTTTAAATTCAGAAAATAGTGATAGAATTATGAAGCTGAATCATGTCATGATTATAAAATTATACTATGGGCTAATCTGGTTCAATTTGGATTATGGCATCATAGTCTAATTTGATTGACTTTTTCAGAAAAAATTTAATATGATAAATAGTTGATATTATAGAATCTAGATTTAGTAATATTTTTAAATGCACCTTTTTATTTATGCTTTAAAATTTTAAGTAAAATATATTATATCTACACTCAAATATTATGAATATATATGAATATACATACACACATACTAAGAATTAAACCTTAATATTGTGTGTAAATGTATGTGAATATATATGTTTATATATTTATCTGTATTATATATACATACACACACGCATACACCTGCAAACTGTATATATATATATATATATATCAATATACACTATTATTTTATTTAGGCACCTTTAAGATTTTAAATTTATATATAGTTTAATGTAGCAAAAATGTAAATCAATTTTATGAAAAACCCAAGCCAAAAGGAGCAAATGCTCTTTAATAATTTTAAAATCATGATACCAGGAAAATAAACTAATAATTCTAATAATTCTGATATGAATTTAAAAATGTACTTTAAACATTACATTTGCATTTTAATGAAAGAAGAATATCTAATAAATTAAGGTACAGAATGAAATATATAAATATATTTTCACAGTTAATGTTAGTCTTTATTTGATAACTGCTTTTGGCAATTTATTTTCATTTAGAATAAGCAAGATAATGATTGACTAGTAAGTATTAAAATTTTTTAAAATATTTTTTATCAAATATAATTAAAATAAAAATAAATTTAAAAGTTGCACATAATTTTTGGAAATTGATTTCAATACAAATATTGAAAGTTTCATTTAACAGATAACAATTAAGTAGTTGCATTTTTATTATTAGAAATTAAACTATATTATAAAAAGAATGAATTTGTATACTTAATTTTGCACTTACACAATTTAAGAAATTTCTATACATATACATATAAATGATTTTTATATTTTTAAAATATATAAATAGGTTTGATAAAACTTTATGAAAATGACTAAAAAATGAAATTAGAATTACTAAAAGTATTAAATTTTAGTGTACTGTAAACCAAAATGTCTTTAATGATATTCTATGCTTATATTGGTAATTAATAGAAAATGATTGTTCTATATTGTGTAGTGCATATTTAAGTACATCATACAAAAAATTTTCTCCTTGTAACTTTCTATATTCAGATATTCTTTTCATAATTCTCCAAAGTCAAAATGCAATAATGTATTTCTGATCATGGATAACAAATTATGTAATCTCACATTTGTGATTTTTGTTTTTGTTTTAAATTATATGTGAAATTATATCTGATGAATTTTGACTATAAAATCATTAATGTCATTTTCTAGAATATGTTAATGTATTTGGACTTTAGAGAATTTATATTTTATAATAAACTGTCAAAGTTGCCAATAATTTATTTTGTTATAAATCTATTCTTAAAATAAATGTGTAAAAATGTCTATTTGTCTAATTAATATTTCAATGTAATATAAAAACAAAATGAATGTAAGTACTTCTGTGTTTTGAACTAATGTTTAAATATGTGAGAGTCTGTTTTTTCCATTTGAAATAGAAAGTAAAACATTCAGGAATTCAAAGAAATCATTATTTTGGTTAACTGTTTATTAATATAACATTAAGAGATTCATTACATCATTCATGCATTTCAAATTTTATTGAACTATTTTTGTTCAGATATTCATTCAAAAAGCTTTTTATATGAATTATGAAATGATGAAATCTTTCTAAAATACATACATTCTTTTTGTTTTAGTTTAAATTCATTCTTTATTACTTAGTATTACTTAATCAATATAATAAATTAATCTGTTTAATAAATTCAGTGACAAATCATCTTAGATTTTGATATTTAAAAATGTCAAATATTTGAATACTTATGTTTTTGTAAAACAAATTTAGCAGTAATTTATTTTCCATATTATAAATACAACAAATCAAACAATATTTCCATACTAACCATCAAATTTCATTCTTCAGGAATTCAAAGTTGTTTGTTAATCATAGCAAAATGTTTAAGATTATAAAGACTTGATGATAGGATTTAAAGTTTATATCTGGCTAGTTTTGAATAATTTAGAAACATGGTGTATACAAACAAATCTGAAGCTTCAAAACTCAAATTTTAATAAATTATAATAATTTTTAAAAATTTTAATCAAATATTTATGGATTATACATAAATATCCTTAAGAAAGCATTAAAATGTATAGAATATACATAATTCATATGTGGTTGTACTATTTTAAATTATTACAAATAATTTGAATGTAAAAACTAAACAAATATGGTACTTTTAACTGTAAGCTTTTATTTGTTTTATTTAACAAGAATTCAGCATAATACATTTGCTTGTAAAACTCATTTCTAAAAGGAAATTCTGACATCCTCAAAAAATAATAATAAAAAAATAATTGTGTATGATTTAATAAATGATTTAAGGTACTGTAAATGGATTTAAAGTTTGAAATTGACTAAATTTGACTGTATAAAATTCACTCATCTTAAAATTGTCCCCAATACTCATTAATTCTATTTAGTTTATTTAACACTTTCATGTTTTAAACTGCATTTTCAAATTTCTATAACTTTTAAAGTGATATAATTTCAGTTTTGTTGTAACTTAATAATTATGATAATTTATTCACTATGTTTTGTTACTTTAATAATCTATTAAATTAAAATCATATTTTGGCATAGTATGTCTAAACTTTTGATATTTATGGAAATTTATGCATCTTATGAATTAGCATCACTTTGTTAAAATAAGATTTTTAGCTTTCTTAAAAAGTTATTATTAGCTAAATTATATGTACAATTTAAATTTCAAATGGGTAAACATAAAGAAAATTCAAAATTATTTGCTCATAATTACACAATTTACAAATATTAAAACTTTTAATAACCTTTTATGATACTTAGAAATTCTAGTCTGAAGAAAAATCTCTATGCATCAAATTCACCTCAGAGTTGTGTCAAATATATAAACAAAATATGTGAGACAAAGCATTAATTGACATGAAATTTTTACCACACATAAGATGATATATTCTTAACAAATAAATATAAATTATGCATATAATTTGGCTATTTAATATAAAGTTGGTCTTTTTAAAGAACCAAAGTCAGTTTATTTTAATAAAAAAAGATGCTGGATTTTGTTAGGCTTTTAAAAAAATTGTTATGTTGCTATCATGATCATATCTGAAAATTCATAAATTATGACTGCCAATTTGACCAGTATAAATACATTCATTTTCAACCATACATAATTCATATTTGCTGATCTCATCATCACTGAGGATAATGAAATAAAGTATATTGAGTGTAAAACATTTATTTTTGAGTTTTTATAAAAATTTACAGTGAAGCATTTGTTATATGAAAAAATACTGTTTTATTTCTCAAATACATTAAATGAACATCTTTTATTGTGTACTTTATTTTCATTGAAATATTTAGTTTACAAATAATTGGATTTTTTTGTACATTTTAATTTCTTTGGCAACTAACATTGTCAGTAATTTCATAAAATGAAGACTTATTATTGCTCTTCTGTTTTCAATTAACTAACTTTTGACTGAATTCTCTTCCTCTTCACAATTATTATTTTATTCAGTTAAAATGTCATTTTTACTGGATCATCTTATGCTATTTTATGCTGTTTCAAAAGTTTTGTAAATTTTTAAAATTTCAAAAATCGAATAAAGCATTTAATATATGAAAAAAAATAAAATTTTGTGTATGGTTATGTATCTGCATTTATCATATATTTTAAAATAAGTAAATAATGCTGTGGTTCTTTCTGTCAAATATTATATTAAAATTTTGAAAAAATTTAAAAGCTCTTCCAATTTATGTGAATGTACTGAAATTTTAATGATTTAAAAAATTTTAAGACAGATCTATAAATAAAACTAATAAACTAATATAATAATTATTTTATTGGAGCATTTTTTATGAATTATTTATACATTTATTAAAGATTCATTTTAAAATATTTGATTACTATTGTATAATTCTATTACTGTTAAACTAACTGGAGTAAATCCAGTCTAAAGAAAAATTAATTCTAGTTTATATATTAATGTGAAAACACTATTCTCTTAAATAAAAAACAAAAATAAAAAATATATTCTCAAAAATATAAAATCATTCTGTTCTGAAGATTTAGCCATCTAAATGTGAATTACAATTTTTTTAGAAACATGTTAAATATAAATTTTCATTTTTGGCTTATAATTATTTTAAGTTACAAGAGTAAATGTGACTGTCTTCAGGTTATCTGAAAAGTTACTGTGCAGTGGAAAAGTGGTAAAGTTTTAATAAAAGTGAAGTTTACATATAATATTGCAGTTTCTTCTATAGCAAAAGCTGAAAATTTCTCCCAAAGGCCCCAAAATCCAGGGAGTGAGGTTCAGAGACCTAGTAGGCCAAATTCCATGGGAGATTATGTGGTTGACAAAGAAGTCTTCCAAAAGCAGAATATTGTGAGCAAGAAGTAATGCCAACTACTGCAAAGTAGAAATGTGGGACTTGCATGTGCTATACATGTAATTTTAATATCATTGTGAATTTCTCACTGCACAGTAACTTTTTGGACATCCTATATTAAATCTCTAAATAAATTTTTTCTCAAATTTTATCTAATAATAGTAGGTTACTTTTGTTTACTAAGATTTTTCTGCTTGTAATTATTTAAAGTAAATCGATTTAATCACACAAAAGCTGTCTTGATATTTTTGAGCTTACCACAAATGCTTTATTTAGGATTTAACAATTGTTGTTAAAATATTCAAATAGTTTCATCTTCAATGATTTAACATTAAAAAAAAGACATTCTATATTTGGCTCTATAATAATCAAATTAAATATGTAAGTGTCTATAAGAACACTTATGCCATCTTGGTCTTATGGATTCAAATATGAAAATTTTTTTTCCTTTGTTATGAAAATTCTTGAAAATTAGTCTATTTGAATTTATAAAAGTTTGGAAAGTTTTATATTAGTTAAACCAGTGAAGAGCAATCCTTTTTGGATGCAGACTACATGCATTTTTTTTAAGGAGGTGCAGGTTTAAGGCCAGTACACTAGGTACCAAACCTACAATTCACTTGGAACGAATATGCTAATGATGATAAACTCATGACTTACTTCTGACTCGAAACCAAAACAGTGCTTAGTTCAATATAGCTTCACTAACGTTTTCGAACTTAGTTCTTCTTCAAGTGAATAAA